AGTCATCACCTCTCGACAATTCCATTGTAGGGAATTGAGGATGTTCTCCTTCATGACTTTTTGGAAGATGTTTCTATCCAGTACCTGAAGTCTGTCCGGTTATTCAGCAAGAAATTTAAGCTGTGGCTACTTAATGCATTGGAAGGTTTTCCAGCCCTTGTACAGATCTCTAAACTCAAAGGTAGGTTTCAATGGGAAAAAAAATGAATTCTGTGAGAGTAGATGAAGGATCTAACTTTCACACTGAGGCAGGACATCTCAGCTGGTGGGTAACTCTTCTCCTCCTGCACTAAACTGCAGCCCGCAAGGCCTGACCGGTTTGGATCTGCTGGCATTTTCTTTAGTGCAATGCTGGGTCCTTGTGCTGGTCCATCCACATCCTTTCATCGATTGCCCCTTATAAATCCTAACATGGACTTCTGACAGGTCCACGGTGTTAGAGATGCAGAAAAGGTGCCGCTGACTATGGCCCAGGCCGGGGAGAAGCCACAGTGCATCCTGTGCATGAGCTGGTGGCTCATGTGTGCCTTCTCAAATCAGCCCTCTGAGGGCAGCCTACAGTCCTTGGGCTAGGTGGCCCAATATTCTTCTGCCTCTTCGTGCTCTGTGTGGCCTCCCAGCAAGGTTTCCAAGAATATCGCTCCCTCCTTAGAAATTCCTCCCATGTCCTTAACTTTCACACTTCTTGGGCCACTGGGGCATTCACACTTTTGTGGTCTTGGTCTCCCCATTGACTTTCTAGAACATGTTCCCTTCCATTCTGCTGCCAGGTGGTAGTCTCTGAAGACTACTTCCCCCAGGCTGCTTGTCTGCTCAAGGCCTACAGCGGCTTAAAATGCCAACACTCACCCGCGTGTGCAGGACATGCTTTATGGTCCTGGAAATACCTCTTTTCCCCCTCCTGCCTCTCTTTCCCCCCTCCACCATTGCCTGTAGCTGCCTCCAGCGCCCTCCCCACCCGGGCCCTCCTCTTCCTGGGCCAGCTTCCTCAGGACTGAGTCTTGCTTTCTTTGCACACTGTTTGCTGTCTTCTCAGACTGGCCCCAGAACAGGACCAGCTCTAATTTTAACCCACCAGCCCTGCACCCCTTGCTATGTTCCAGTACTCACACTGGGAATCTTGATCCCGTGTGACCCACATGGACATGTTCCCATGGCCGGGCAGGGACCATGGGCCAGAGACTGCCAGCCAAGAATCAGCAGAAAGAGGGTGCTGCAGGGAATATGACGTCTGGAACTTGCTGTGGCAGGGGGTCCATGAAGTGAGGAGACTTTGCCACTCAAGCCCAGTCTCCCTCCGTCCCTCCCTGAGGCTACTTCAGAGCTTTCTAGTTGGTTATCCTGCCTCCAGCCTCACCCCCTCGGTCACACGTCCCTCTGCCCCTAGTGATGGTTCTACACAGTGATCTGACCCATTAAAACCTTCCACGGTCCCTGCTGCCTGGACGGTCCACAGGCCTTCACTCACTATGCAGAGTCATTTACAGCTTGGCCTCTGGCCTCATCCTTGTCCCCAACCCCTGGGGGAATCCCCCCACTGGTACTCCCCAGCAACACAAGACAGGTTGTCTCCAGAAAGGTCCTTATTCCTGCTCCTGTCTCTGCCTAGACTGCCAGCCCCGTCCCCACCCCCCCCCCCCCCCCCCCGCCAAGACCTCACCCCTCCCTAACTCCTAACTTGCACATTCTAAATGAAGCCACACCTGACACCTTCTTCCAAACAGGCCCCTCCCTCCCCTCTGCACCCCCACACACCCCTTCCTTCATTCTTCCCCAGGTGGCTCTCACACTGCCCGGGGCACTTACCCTGCTGTGGGGAAGGCGTCTGCACGTCTGTCTGGTGACCCATGCTCAGCCAGTGAGCCCCTAGCAGGTGGAGGCTGCCCTCCTTTGTCCAACAATCCGGTGAACACCCAGCACACATTATGGAGCAAACACTGCACTAGTGTCCCTCATAAATATTTGTCAGATGAATACATGCACACACTCCTTTTATGTTTCCTCTTTTCACCCTTTCCTTTTCTTGGGTCACTTTTCTTTTTTAAAGATTTATTTATTTATTTATTTGAGAGAGAGCAAGTGAGCATGGGGGGAGGAACAGAAGGAGAGAGAATCCTGAAGCCGTCTCCCCGTTGAGCACAGAGTCCAGTGCGGGGCTCGATCCCAGGACCCTGAGATTCTGACCTGGGCTGAAATCAAGAGTCGGACGCTCAACTGACTGAGCCACCCAGACGCCCCTCCTTGGGTCAGTTGTTGAGGAGAGCACTGTAGAGATGACAAAGTTGGGGGAAGTCCTAAACTCCTTTGAGCAGGCACGTCAGATGCTGGGAGTATATCACATTCTGGCACGGGGGCAGGGGGGATGGTTTTAGTCAAGTGGTCCCTGCCAGTATCTCCTAGCCATTCGGGAAAGGGCCAGTGGGCAGTGGGAAGACCAGGATGCGTGGAGGCCTCCCTGTGTGGAGGGCAGTTTAGGCAGCTGTACCTTCCTAGGCAAATGCGTGGGCCTCATGTCTGTGCTGTGCGTCCTCTTCCCTGCTGTGTACATAAGAACTTGAAGCTACAGGGATGCCTGGGTGGTTCAGTCAGTTAAGCATCTGCCTTTGGCTCAGGTCACGATCCCAGGGTCCTGGGATCGAGGCCCGCATCGGGCTCCCTGCTCAGTGGGGAGTCTGCTTCTCCCTCTCTCTCTGCCCCTCCCCCTGCTTGTGCGTTTTCTCTCTCTCTCTCTCTCTGTCAAATAAATAAATAGAAATCTTTATTTTAAAAAAACTTGAAGCTACAGTATTAATAATGGCCATATGTTTTGTTCTTAACAGAAGTTACTGTGTTTGTCAAAAGACTAAGAAGGAAGACATACCTTTCCAACATGGCAAAGGTAGGTTTCAGCCAAAAGGACAGTAGGGAACAAAGTAGCTTCCTGAAGCAAAAAGTGAAAGCTGCAAGTATGTCCTAAGAGCAGGCGGTAGCTCCCTTTGTAGGGAGGCCATGTCCATCCCCTTAGAGGGCAGAGGGCAGACAGGAGGACCTTGTTGGCCACTAACTGGGAAGGTGTAGTGTGCCCAAAACTCTCAGCTAGAAGCCCACCCCACTTCTCCCCTGCTCAGAAAGGTTCTCCCTGCAGGAGAAAAAGCAGAACAAGCAGGTCAGTGTTCTAAAGTTCGAGAGGAAGAACCCACATAAGTGCTGACCAGGGCCAGCCAGTGTCAGAGGTGAAAGGGCATCATGGCAGAGTCTAGAACAGACAGACGGAGCCCATCACCCGGTGCATGGCCCCATGGACTCCGTGTGTCCAGTCTGCCAGGTTTCTCAGCTCTGACCTTCTCCCTCCTGGGTTGTTTATGTAGCTTCAGTGTTAGAGGAAGGCAGAGAAGGGCTGAAAGAAAGATTCCATAATGCCAGTGTGTGGGCCCCTCAGGAATCTGTTCTGAAATCCTGTGGACACCAGATTGGGACTGCGGCTGTGTTCCAAATCAGTCCCAGCTCGGGAGGAGCGCGGCTGGGCCCCTCCGCTTCGCCATCTCTGTCCTTCCAGCACAAAACTCTCTCTCGACTTCACGTTTCCTGGGGTTGTTTCCTGCCTATGTGCTCACAGCCCATCCAGTTCTCCAGCACTTTCTCATTCCTGATCGGGTCAACTGATGATGGCCAGCCCAAGCGGCAAGCTCGGGTTCTAGAGCCACCCTGCTCTGAATCTTCTCTTTCTGAACACGATGGCTGGGGGAAGGTTTACTCAACATCCCAGGTGCCCTCAGGCTCTTCCCCTGTCAGGTGGAGGAGGTGGCTGCAGGGCCTGCTCCTGAGGCTGGTGTTGAGGATGACCCCCTGCTCAGCCCCGGGGCTCCAGAAATGGAGGGCATTGGATTGTCCCCATTGGGTGGCTGAAGAAGTCAGCTCCCAGCGGCTGAATTCGTGGCCCAGGGGAAGGACAGAGACAGCATCTGGTGCCTGCAGCACCCCTCTGGAACTGGCGTCTGTGGAGCCATGTTCTCCTTGCCGAGCTCCTGGCACAACCACCATGCTCCTCTCTAGAGTAGCTCAGGCTCATGGTGTGGGGTGCAGAGAATAAGAATCAGGGAGAGGAAGAGCCACAGAGCCCCGGGAGCCCTGACCATATCTGCCTCTGAGCAGAAGCACTCCGAATGGTGATTTTCAGAAAGGCCATCCTAGAATGCGTGCAGTTTGAACATTTCAGTTGTCGTGTAGGATTCAGTTTTAGGGGGTAATACCCAAATCCACTTCTCTTTCTCCTCAAAAAAAAAAAAAAAAAAAATCTTAGTCGTTTGGAGAGGGGAATTAGGCAAAAGTAAAAGGACAAGATTTAATGAAGTTATTGTGCTTCTCCATTATCTTTAGACTATGAGAATGGTGTTGAAAAATAGCAGGAGAGTCAGCGTTTTGAAGTCAGATCTACAAGCCATCACCAGTCGAGGTGCTTTGGACATGTCTAAGAAAGCCCTGCCAAGTAACCCAAGTAGTGCCACTGACCTGGAGACACACGCGGAGATGAAATGTAATCTTCCTTCTGCACCTTGCATTATTGGGGCCTTTGGGATATATTTGGGGCTGGCGCGGCCATCACTAGTTTATGAATTCTTAGTCGAGGTAGAACCTACTTTACTCTTGGATATTATCGTTTATCTGCTCGCACATCTCTTCCTGCAGGGGTGAGGAAGGGTCCACCAGGTCCCCAGTGCTAATCCACTTTCGTTGAATGAATGAACAGAGGAGGGTGGTTGTTGCTTCCCAGTATTTCTTCCTGGAAATCAACCTGGGGTATCTCCTTTGGAAAAAAACATCGATCTTGTACATGCAGATTCAACAGTGTCTCTTCTAACTCGGTTCGAATCACATTAAGTTCGCCCCCTGCCTTGCCAGATTCCGCTGTGTCGCTATTGTTAGCATCACCAGTGTTATTTTTCATAGGGTGAAGCTTAGCCACGTGCTCTTACCAAACTTTCCAAACAAGTGATAGTAAGTATGTGGATATTCCTGCCCTTTGCTATCTGAGAGTCGTAACTGTTTTTCAAGGGAAAAATCTCCCTTGCACAAAGAGCTTGGCAAGCAGGCTGACGGCATTGTTCCATCTCCGGGAAGCGAGAGTAGTGAGAGAAGAAGCAAGTTGTCCTCACTCAGCAGGGAGAACCTGGGTGCTGTTTCAGGAGGAGAGCTGCAGAAGGTGTATGACCTCCTCCCCCAGACTACGGGCGAATCTCTAGGCCTTTGTAGGAGAGTTGCCAGGAGGGGCCGTGGGAGCCACGCTCCATTCATGCATGTTCCAGACACTCCCCCAGGATGGCCCGGGAAGGTCCAGTAGCCTCATCCTCCGTGAGCCTGGCCCTGTCCTGATACACTTAGCTGTGCTGAGGGCTGCCTCCCCAGAATGTGTGGGCTTCTTCCAGTGTCAGCTGTGGCTTATTCATCTTGGTCTACCCAACACGGTGCTGGCACATGGTAGCACCCGCATACTTCATAACTAGATGAATACATGGATTCAGTAGTGCATAAATGCACCACAAATTATCCTGGCCTCTTTCTTTAACCTGGAAGTAGGGCCGACTTTGGTAGGATTGTACCAGTTATTAAAATATATAAAGAGGTCCATACTTGTCGGCGGGTCGCGCCTGCCCCTATTGTCTGGCTGTTCCAAATCCCAGCTCCTCCCCTCCCAAAGCAGTAATGAGAAGGTAAACCCCTAACCTAGGAAACTTCAGAGATACGGACAAGCAGTGCTCATTTGTAGGAGCCCAAAAGGCCCCCTCCCCAGGCTACTGGCTCTCCCCCAAACTCCAGGTCATTGCCCAAAGCCTGCTCTTGCCCCCAGCCAGAGCCCAGGGAGCCCCAGGAGGGCATGAGGCCTCTCCCCCAGAAGCCTGCCCAGTAGTCCTGTGGGCTCCTACTGGCATTCTTGTAAATAGGACTTCCAGGAGGGCACAGAACCAGCAGGGAGGCAATATTCTGGTCACCACTGCTGACGCCTAGCAGATAAATGCTTGAGGTGTCCCTGGAGGATCCTCCAGATGAGACCTGGCCAAGCCTCAGTCAGGGCCATGGCAACCTACTCGGGTTTCTAAACTCTGCTTGGTACATAGCCGCATTCCAAAAGGTGGGCGAGCCCAAGGCTGTTCTTTGCTCAGTGCTGCCTGTGCGGGTGAGGACCCAGTCCTGATGTCACACATGCTTGGGCCCCACCCTTCAGGTCTGTACTAACTGAGTTTATAGCCCCAGGCAAGCCACATCCCTCATTGGCTTTGATGTCCACCATGGGTTTAAAGGACATTAATAAACTACCCCTTTTGTGAAAACGGCAAGGGTAGGTGAGCTCATGTCTGTATCATGCAATGAGCTCATCTGTAGCTGGGTTCTGTATAATTACAAGGTGTAGTTATTATTTCAAAATATTTTTTTTCCATTTCAACAAGTGACAGACGTGGTTCCTAAGAGGCAAGACCATGTAACTCTGAACTAGTTGACCGCAGAGGTGACAAATCCAGCTTTAGAATTCATCCTTTGTGTTCAAAAGGAGTGTGAGGCCCCAGGAAATGCCTTTGAACTCCGGGACCAGTGTTGTCCCCTAGGTCACCTAGTACACAAATACCTACAGTAAAATCCTGCTACTTTGCTCACAATCGTTTTGCTTCTTTTGTTTACAGGTTTAAGCAGTTTGATTTCTTTGCTGGGGACATCCGCAGATCTCAGCATTTTCCTGAATTGTCTGTCTTCAAATCTCCAAACATTTGTCTTCCAGGTACAAAACAATTATTTTTTTTTTAAAGGGAAGAAGGGGTTGTTGATCATTCTAGCTACATTTTAGCACCAGTGCCCATGACCTGGTGCAATGAAAGAGTTTTCTCTGGCCAGAAATGTGTCAAGGCTGGTGTGGGTGTTAAAGATAGGGAAGTGGTGTCTCACTCCCTCCTGTAACAAGGCAGGAATCAGAGGCTGGCACGTACAGGTGTGTGTTTGTGGGTGAGCATGTGCAGTTGGGTGAGCATGTGTGGTCTCAGGTGTGTGTGCAAGTGAGCATGTATGTGCAGGTGAGTGGGGGTGACAGTGGATGAGCATGTGTGTGTGGGTGAGCGTGGGTGAGTGTGTGTGCAAGTGAGCATGAGTGTGGAGTGAACATGGGTATGTAGGGGAATGTGTGTGAGGGTGGGTGAGCATGTGCAAGCCCATGAGCATGGATGAGTGTATGTGTGCACCAAGCAAGAATGTCTAGGAGGAAGAGGGAGAACAGTCTATTTAGGGAGAACAGTGCTGGTCTAGGTATTTTGCAGAACCATCCAAGTGTTAAGCTTGATTTCACAAAATCAAAGATGCATTGTTTTAGATACAGATGGGTTTGGTCCTTCTGATCGACTTGAAACTTGGGTGTTACTTGACTAGGGCGTTACTTTGGCTTTGTTGTCCTCATCCTCTGCCTTGGCAGCCTCACCGTAAGAGCTAAGAGTACTGTCAGAGAAAGCCTGCCCAGTGGCCCATCGGGGGTGGTGGGCGAGGAGCTGGAGGCTATGCATTAAAACCTAGACCCAAATGAGGCAGCCCAGGGCTGCGCTAACTGGAGGCATTGTCCTCTGAAGGCTGAGGCAGTTAGGAAGGGCCTTGATGAGGGAGGTGGGATTTAAACAAGATGTAGAAGGTGAATAGGATTAAAGCAAACTAAGAAAAGGAACAATGTCCACACGAAACTAGCAAGAGCAGAATGAGCATATGGAAAAATGGAGGGCCATTTACGGAAGAAGCAGATGTCTCTGGAGCAGAGAGCAAAGACTTGGAGGGCCTGGGCCAGAAACTCAACTTTGGGCTTTCTGTTAAGCCTCCAGTCACATTTCTTTCTCTCCCCCTTCCTGCCCCACGTGTTCTTGTCTGTATGCCTGTCCGCCCCATCAAAGAGAAAAGGGCACAGGTAATACCTGAGACTGCAGGCTGCAGTAGGGTGACACACCTCAGAGATGAACCAGGAAACTTTTCAGGAAGGAGCTTGAAAGTCAGTTCCAATGCTTGGCAGGTGTCTGTTTCCATTCTTTGCCTCTGGGTGATAAACGTTCCAGATTCTGTATGGCTTTTCTTTCTCCTTGTTGGGCTTTGGCAAAGCCTGTTTGTAACAGTGGTAAGCGTGTCTAGGGTTGCGTTGCTGTGGAGACATGTATTCATTTGATAGCTTCACCCATAGAAGCTTTCAAGCTTCTGTTCCTTGTTTTGGGTTTTCACTCCACCCCTGACTTGAACCAAGATGAGTCCCCTGAGCCCAAGAGGCTCACCCTGTTTTAGACCATGTAACACTCTGTATTTCCCAAGACTCCCACTCCCATATCTTCAGCCTTCACAAATGAGGCATGTTAGAAAAATGGTATTTTTGTAACCATGCCTTTGAAGGGCTTGTTTTTGTATAACAGCTTGGCTGATAAAAAAACCAGACTATTGTCAATAAAATACTCAGACTGTGGAAATGGAGGCCCTGAGGCATGTGGGAGGTGACTAACGGCTTCAGTGGCTGGTGTCTGGCAGCGCACTCGCAGAAGAAACCGATCCGCTGGGTCACGTGCTTGCTCTCCCAGTTCTCGGCGGTTCGGGCCCAGCAGCAGCTTCTGGACATAGGGGCCTGAAGTGCCACATGGATGGCCACAGCGCTCAGGGTTTACGTTTCAACGTTTGTGCAGAGTGCTGGTCACCCAGGGCTACTTCTCTCCATGCTTTTCAGAAGTATCCTTGTGTCTGTTGAGCCGGGCTCCTCCTGGGAGCCCTGTGTTAGGTGGTCAGAAGCACCAGGCCAGGGGCCAGGAGCCCACGGGGGGAGGATGCCGCTCCTGGTTGGGGTTCACCACCTCCCAGAGCCCAGGGCACTCACAGTGTGCAGAGGAAGGAGCAGCAGAGATGAAAAAGGGTATTATTCCCTCATTTCTAGCCAGGCTCAACATCTCCTCCTCAGAGACTTGTGGTCGCGCCCCATGTGTGGCCCACATACACGATGAGGCTTAGGAGGGCTTCAGGGGTGTTCATTCCAACACATGCCTGTGAGATTCATAGGATCCCCAAGGCGACTCTCGGTCTAGATGGAGTTTCGCAGCCTGCATGTGGAGGCATCTCACTAGTATCCAGTTTAGTGCTACTCAGGCTGTCCGCTGGCTGCCCAGGTGGAACCTTCCAGGCCTCAGGTCATGCACGTGGCACAGTGGCCAGCTTTGTGCTTTCCAGAATCAGCGCGGTGACCTTCATTAGCTGCTTTTGCACGTGCTTGGACTGGGCAGGCATAGAGCGGCCAGCAGCTCTCTCAGGGGCGACAGCCAGGTGGGCCCAGCGAGGCTGCCCACGCCAGTCCCCTGTGGTGCTTCACAAATGACCGCTTTTGAAAAACTGTGTGGGATCAAAACAAAAAACGTAGGCCAGTTTCCCAGCTCTTTCTTCTCTCCACCAACCTCAAAAGGTTCTGCCCTAGAATCATCTCCACAGGAGATGCAGGGGGACCACAAATAGGCTAGTGTGCCTCTGCCTCATCATTTCTTCTTCCTGTTCTCGCCCGGCCACTTGGGGGCATCTGTGCGTGGCAGCCGTGCGCTTGTGATCTTCCGGACTTTGTCACAAACCCCAGCATTTTTTTTCCTCACAAAAATGTAATAGCCCAGCAGAAGCAAAGAAGAGTTTATCAGATTGGCCGCCAGCTTCCAGCTAAGATGGAATTTCCTTCTCACCGCCGTGAGCAAAGCCATGACTCTCTGCCACAGAGATAGTTTCGGTAAGGCAGAGAACACAAAACATTTTGGTATTTTAAAATGTTATGACAGCATAGAATCCAGTCACCTTCTTTTCACCCTTTTTAAAAAATATTTATTTATTTTTGTGAGAGGGAGAGAGAGAGCAGGAACACGAGCAGGGGGAGAGGCAGAGGCAGAGGGAGAAGCAGGGAGCCCGACGAGGGACTCTATCCCAGGACCCCGGGATCATGACCTGAGCCGAAGGCAGACGTTCAACCAACTGAGCCACTCAGGCGCCCCTCTTTTCACCTTTTTTGTAAAATACAACACAGACCTAGAAAGCCATAATAATTGTGTTTTAATGGCAACCATGATAGTCCATCAAACAGTCAAACCAAGCTTCCCTTTCCCATTCCATCATGGTTGGATGCATAAGAGGCCTCCCCTTGTTTTTGAATTGTGTACTTGGGTGTTTTTAGAAAAGCACCCAGGGAGCCAAATGAGATGAGGAACAAATGGGTTCTTTGGGGCACCCAAGTTTAAATTTCAGGACTAATGATTGATCCAGTCACCATTGTATGCAGATAGTGGAAAGAGTGAAGTAGCATCCATTGCAAACTATCTGCTCAAATAGGTGGTCTTTCTCTGTCAGGAAGGGTCACGTCTGTCCCATCTGTGGCAAAGATGCAGCATAGGGGAACTGTAGGAAGGGAAGTTCACCACTGAGCCCCATGGAGAGGATCATTCATTCCAGTGGATAGTTATTGTGTCCCTACAAAGTCCCAGGCACCTTGCCAGGCACTGGGCGTAACAGCAGTGAAAAGACAAAGTCTCCGCCCCTGTGAGCTTGCACACCAATCTGGGTGAAGGATCCCTGCTCCAGAGAGCTGCCAGATGCCCTAACAGCAGGTGAAACGAGGAAGAGAAGACAAGCTTTATCGTAGACCAGTTTTGCCAACACTCTGGAACTCTTTTGAGGATGGCTGCTGTCACCTGTCATCCATGGAGGTGACACCCACTGGTAATGAGACTCTCCCCTTTAGTGAAGTCCAAAATGACTCTGCTTTATGCTAATGCTCTCCCAGAGCAAAGTGAGGGAGCGGAGCTCATGTGCTGAGCTCCTGATAAGAAACCCAGCCCTGAAGCTGTTGCCCCCTACCCCACCACACACCCTCTTTGGACCTCGTATGATGTCCCAAGAAGTATTTACACTGGTTTTTCCTCTTCACGTGGTTAAATGGGCCAGGGGTTGCTGGTCAAGCTTATTCCAGACCAGGTCAGGCCATCCTGTCTCACCGGGATCCATCACGGAAAAACAAACATTGCGTAAGGCTTTGAAATGGACAAAAGTTTGCTGGAAATGGACAAAAGGCTTTGAAATAGGCAGAAGGTTCAGCACACCCTTCTGAGTTATCTTCAGCTTTCATGTGTTTGAGTTATTTTACAACTCTCTAAATTGTATCAATAATAATGCAAATGATTCTCCCCCAGGGAAATGCAAACTAATTGTGTCAGGTGGATGCTATTGATTACTGCCCTGAGGACAGATCTGTGGGGCATCTTTACTGTCTATACACGCGCAGTGCTTGGAATTCTCCTTTGAACAAGTTGGCAACATTTTACGAACTTCCTCTTTAATAAATGACTTATATGAGATCTTTGACACATGTTCATTTTATATCTGTAGAGAACGGTGGTTTTACCTTCATTAAAAAAGTATCTTTTGGGGCGCCTGGGCGGCTCAGTTATTGGGCGTCTGCCTTCGGCTCAGGTCATGATCCCGGGGTCCTGGGATCGAGCCCCGCATCGGGCTCCCTGCTCAGCGGGAAGCCTGCTTCTCCCTCTC